TTAAAGCACCTCTATTAATATGATAAGCTGCTTCTTCTGAGTTTCTATCAGATTCTCTATTCATTTTCATGATGAGTTTTTAGATTATCCATCTAAAATTATTCTAGGTTTATGGTGCATTAATTTATACTATACTCATTAATTATTATTTACATTAATATATAATAAACAATATTCAAACATAGATAATATGTTTATTATTAAAAATGAATAGTAGATATCAAATTAACTTAAAGTAAAAGCTAGGAAGTGGAATGTATGGAACTGTATATACAGCTATTGACACATTGACAAATGAAATTGTAGCTGTAAAACAAATGAACAAATAGGAACTCGGATTAGACAATAAAATATTTAGATAAGAAGTTGAATCTATGTAGAGTATACCTTATTAAAATGGTTAGAATGGTTCATAATATTTAATAAGGTAATATTAATTATGTAATTAATACAAGATATAAGGATTTCTATTAGTGTTCTAATTTCAATAATATTGTAATGGAATGTTTTTAAGATTCTTTGGATCTTAATTCTTATATAGAAAAGAAAGGGTAAATTTGTGAAGATGATGCCCTACAAATATTTTATTAGATTGCTTCAGGGATAAGTTTCTTACATGACATGCATATTGTACATAGAGATATTAAACCATCCAATATATTGATTAGAACTAAACCAAAATTAGAAATCAAAATAATTGATTTTGGATTTGCAAGATTATTAAATGATGAATAAACTACTTCTAGAACATATGTTGGAACTCCTATGTATATGAGTCCATAAACAAAATTATTGTATTAATTATAAATTTAAATTTAGATCATAATATGATCCATATGCTAATGATATTTGGAGTCTAGGAGTTTTATTGTTTTTTATGGTTACTTAACATTATCCATGGAAATCTAAAAAAAGTGATTAATTAGAAAAAGAAATGCTTAATTATGTTGCATAATAAATTCAAATCAATATTAATGGGATTCCATAATATGCAAAAGAATTAATTATGGATTGTTTATAGGTTGAAGAATCTGCCAGAATTAAAGCTAATGATTTAGCATGGAAAACAAAAAGAATTATATAAATTATTATTGACAAATCTTGTTAACCTATTTTTAAATTGCCCAAATTTAAATGGGAATAATTAGATGGATATAGACCTTCTCTAAAATATCCATTTATTAATAAGGAACAACTTGAATAGTTAGAATTATGAATTTAGAATTATTATATTAATTAATATTAATAATATTAGGAATAATGATTAAATGTATTTATTAAATAAGATATAATTAATTTTAATTATTACTAAAAGTCAGAACAAGAAGAACTTGAATTACTTATATCATATATCTAATGATTAGTAATGAAGTATTTTCATCAAATACATCTATTATACTTAAAATAGCTAAGAATAATGCTATTATTTCTAGTTTTTGATGAAAAGTACTCGAATATTTGGGTAACTCATTAAATGTTATGTAAGGGTTACAAACTTGAAGAGATAAAGAAATGAAGAAAAAAAAATGAGAAAATAAATGAATCTGTAAAAGTTATAGGAGAATTAAAGATATTTTGGTTTAAAACACGTATGATAAAAATGTAATAAAATAATGGATAAAAGAGTGGAATGGACTGGAGAATGAAAAAAAGTGTGAAAATCGATATGAATGAGATAAAAATTATCTATAAAATAAGAGATAACAAAAATGAATAGAGAAATGGAGTTAGAATGATTTTTGAGTGAAGAAAAGATTTGTAGAGAATGAGGGAATACAATATTATAATAAGTGGAATATAAAATTAATAAATATAAGAATAGAAAATATAAAGATACTGCAGATTATGAAATAAGTACATGAAAAAATGACATATCATGATCTGAAAAAGAGTAATAAAAAAAAAAGAATGAAAAAGGAGTAGAAAATAATGATTGATGTATATATATATATTAAATCCTGCTAATAATGTATTTGAATTAGGATATTATCTTGATTTATATGTGTGAGTAATTTTTTGTTATTTTTTTTAAAAAAAGAAGAAAGAAGCCATTATCCCCAAAAAGTTAAAATATAAATTTACTTGTTTTAGTGAACAAAGAAAAATCATCAGACGAAGACTATAACGAAAGTGAATAAGAAGATAGTGAAATGGACATAGAGTAATATTATATATATATATATATCGACTCATATTAGAACTTACGAATTATAATTATTTTTAATTATTATATATTTTTTAGAAGCGCTAGCTCAGATTACCATGATAAGAAAAAGAAAAAAGGTGGAAAGAATACATAAATACGTATTAATTAACTAATGACTGTATATATGTTCAATAACTCACTAGTTTTGTGTTGAAAGACCTAGGAGAGGCAAACAGAATGCAGGCTTTAAAGAAGAGTCATCAGAAGAAGAAGTGGAGCAATAATAAGGTATACTTTTAATTTTATAAAGAATCATCACAAGAATAAGAAGAGTCAGTTTTTGATCCTGATATCGAATAAATCTTATGGAGAAGACAATAAGAAGATGGAGAAATGCAATTTTATGTAAAATATAAATCTTATTCATATTTATGGTGCGAATGGAAAAGTGAATAATAAGTATTTAATTATTCTAATTATTAATAGATTATTTTAAAGGATAAAAATGGAAAATAAAAAATAAATAGGTTTAATCGTTTATTTGAGAAGAAAATCAAAGAGTATGATCCTGATGAATTATAAGAAATGAATTACTTTGATCCTTCTTATCTAGAAATTGATCGATTAATCTCTTCAACAGAACTCTTCCCTATTATCCATCCTAAAAAGGCTAATGAAATTAAAGGTAAATGGAATGAATATTTATCAATTATAATATCCAAACTTCTTAATTATTCTGAAGGGCGGGTAAAGTTTGGAATATTCTTTATGTAACCTGTCAATCCAGATACTGATGGTTGTCCCGATTATAGAAAAATAATCACATAACCTATGGATTTAGGAACTATATATAATAGATTATATTTAGGATACTATAGAAATTCATAATAATTCTGGTATGAATTAGGTTTGGTTTTTAAAAATTGTAGAAAATATAATAGTAATCCACAAGGAGAAATAAGAAAATTGGGAGATGCTTTAGGTGAATGTGCTCTAATACTTTATAATTAATGGTATGAATATGCAAATTAAAGATATCAATAATTAATTAAATTGAAGAAATGTGAGGAAGACAAAGATTTTATGTAGTAAATCATTTAAGAAATTGGATAATAAAAATTAGAAGACGAAATTAATTAAGATAAAATCCAACTATTAGGAGATATTGAATTATGGAATCCTGGATCATAAAATTATTAATGGTTTGATGATGATCCTAATTTCTAACCTTAATTAACTAATGAAAGACAAGTTGATCTATATTAGAATCATGAACAATTATACTTAGTTAAATGGAAGAACTTATCTTATCTATAAGCAACTTGGGAGTTTATTACTGGATTTCCAAATGCTTAGGCAAAATTATTTGAATTTCGTACTTTCACTAGATCTTTGGATAAAGATACAAGACAATTGTAAATTTAAAATTGCAAAGCTCATAAATAAATATTAGACTATGATTAAAAGAAGAGAAATTAAATATCATAATAAGCTATTTAAAACATAAAAACTTAACTGTATTAATTAGATATCGGAAAAAATAAAAAAGCTTATTAATATACTCCTAGAACTTAGACAATTTATAAAGATAGAAAGTTATTGCGAGATTATTAATTAGAATCTTTAAATTGGATGATTGATGCCTATTACAATAATAGGAATGTACTATTAGCAGATGAGATGGGATTAGGAAAAACTATATAATCAATAGCTTTTTTAAATCACTTAGTATCAATGGAATCATGTCGTGGTCCATTTTTAATCATAGCTCCATTATCAACACTGCAACATTGGAAACGATCTTGTGAAGATTGGACATCTTTAAATGCAGTTCTTTATTATGATCAGTAAGGTTAACCTGGAAGATAAGCCATTAGAGATTATGAATGGTTTTATACTGATATTTCACTAAAAGGTAGTACTTTACCATCTTAAGAATTATACAAATTTTAAATATTAATAACATCTTTTGAAGTTTTTAATTAAGATCATTCAACTTATATTTAATAAATACCATTTTAATTTATTATTGTAGATGAAGCACATAGATTAAAAAATTAAAATGCTAAAATATTGGCTAGTCTTAAAAGATTAGTATGTTCAAGAATTATGATTTTAACAGGTACACCAGTTTAAAATAATCCAGAAGAATTATGGAGTTTACTTAATTTTATAGAACCAGCATAATTTTAAAATTTAAATTCATTCAAATAATAATTTGGAGATTTGAATACAGCAGAATAGATAGAAAAATTAAATAAGACATTAAAACCTTATATTTTAAGAAGATAAAAGGAAGATGTAGAATAATCTATACCTCCTTTATAAGAGAATATAATAGATGTTGAATTAACAAATGTGTAAAAAACATTATATAGAGCTTTATATGAAAGAAATAAATTGGCATTGATATAAGGTTTTTCTTAATAGACAGCATAAATAGCATCATTAAATAATTTAGATATGCATTTACGAAAATTATGTAATCATCCATTATTGTTGAAAGAAATGCATTCTGATATAATTGAGAAAAACAAAGGAAATGAAGGAGAATATTTAAAGATATTAATAGAATATTCTGGGAAGATGGTGTTGTTAGATAAAATGTTAAAGAAATTCTTAAAAGAAGAGAAGAAAATGTTAATATTTTCTCAATTTACAAATATGTTAGCATTATTAGAAGAGTATTTATCCTTTAATTAGATAAAATATGAAAAGATTACAGGAGATATAAAATAAATAGATAGATAAAATGCTATAGATAGATTTAATGATTAAAAGAAGGGAAGACAAGTATTTCTACTTTCAACTAAAGCTGGTGGTTAAGGTATAAATTTAACAGCTGCTGAAATTGTTGTAATATTTGATAGTGATTGGAATCCATAGAATGATATTTAAGCAACAGCTAGAGCACATAGAATAGGATAAGATAAGTAAGTTGCTGTATATCGTTTTATTACAAAAAATACTTATGAAGCTAAAATGTTTGAAAGAGCTTTTGCTAAATTAGGTTTAGATTAAGCTATTTTTATGAATGGTGAATTCAAATCAGCTAATTTAAATAAAAATAATACTACTACTAATTCTAATCCAGAATAAAATAATAAAAAATTAAATAAAAAAGAATTAGAAATATTACTTAAATAAGGTTCTCTAGGTTTACTTGAACATTATGGATAAGAAACTATTGATTAAAATATCGATGATATCTTAAATAATACTAGAGTTGCCAAATATTCATTAATTAATGGATCTTATACAATTAGCAAATAAACTTATGTTCCAGAATAAGCTAATTAATAAATTGATATTGATGATCCAAATTTTTGGTAAAAAGTACTTAAAAATCAAGAATCCAAATCTCAAAAGATTCTTAAAAAACTCTAAGAGGAATAAAATATTAAAACTTTTTAATAATAAAAAGAAATAATGTTGGAAAGCTCTGAATGTGTTAATAATATAATTTAATCAAAATTAAGTAGAGAAGGATATGATGCTGATGAAGAAAATACTGTTTTAGATATTTTAAATTTAATTGAATTCAGTAAATTCTTTGAAAAAGATTTTAAAAATCTAGCAAACAGTTGGATTCTAGAATTAAGTAAACCATCAAGAAGATTCAAGAAAATCACAGAAAATGATTTAATGATAAATACTACTACCATTTCATAATAAGTTATAGAAACACCAAAACCAAACAAAAATTTTGAATTGAATTGGTCTGAGTATGAAGAATATAAGAAATTATTAAGTAAATCAAGTTAAGAGTAATAATATTATTATAATTTAATAGTTTATAAATACGATTATGTGCTATTTGTGAAAAGTAGAAGTGTGATTTGTTTTGTAGAGGTTTTTGCAGAAGATAATTTCATAAAGAATGTTTAGAAGGTGGATAAAATAATGGATAATCATAAGGAGAAATTAATATTAAATATTTATGTTAAGATTGTGAAAAATATAAAGGAACTTGTTTTGTTTGTCTAAAATAAGGCACTTTTTATCCAAATCTATCTAAAAATAAAATTTAATAAGATAAATAATTTATAGATGATGATTATGATGACAATTAAGCAGAAGTATATCTTATAAATATATAATATTAAAGTAGATTGTAGTATCAACTGGAAAGATTACTAGAGCAAGAGCTTAATAATAATTATAATAATAATTATCAGAATTGGTTAAATGTAGCTAGAATTGCCATAAACTTTATCATTTTGCATGTGTTTAAACAAGCAAAAATTTCAAAATTTTAGATGGAGAAAGACAAAAATTTAAATGTGCTCTTCATTTTTGTGAAAAATGCAAGGATAGTAATATAATTCTAATATTTAATAGAATCTCATGATGATAATCAAAAAATGATATAATGTTTAAGATGTCCTAAAAGTTATCATGAGAAATGTGCTCCAAAAGGAATACGAAAAGTAACCAAAAAATTTATAATTTGTCCTGCTCATAAAGAGGAGCTTATTTAACCTATTATTAAGAAAAAGGTGAAAATTGAACCTGTTTAAACTACTCAGCCTCCTAGAAAATTAAAAAAAATAAATAATGGATCTGATGTTGAATAATGATATACAATTAAATAATAATAAGGAATATATATTAATTTATATATGATTTATATTTAACAATTAATTTTTCTAAAATTCTTTGTTAGAGAAATCATATATACTTAAGAATAATTAATTTAAAAACTTTTTTATGTTCTTTTTTAAAGAAATCATATTTAATAAACAATTATTAATTTTAGATATAAATGATTACAAATTAAGAATTTAGTTGCAGAATCCCTCATCATAAAGTGATAAATTAAAAGATAGTTTATGTCGTAATATTTGTCTCTCATTCTTATTACTCAGCAAAAGTTCATCATTTCAGATATTCTGATGCAGAAAAGCTACATAATAAAATTGAAAAGTAATTATAACAATTGAGATAATGTGTTAATTTACCATCATTTCCAGGTAAGAAATTATTTGGAAGTCATAATGATTCTAAATCTGGCATTTTAAGAAGAGTAATAGATAATTATTTGATTATTAGAGATCTGATCTATAAGAATATTTTAATTAGTTACTTAAAATTGAAAAACTTTATTCTCTCTCTTGTTTGAAATAATTATTACCTGATATAAATGATGAGAAAAGTGATCTTGTTTAATATTTATAAGATAAGTAAACTATATTAGTTAACTAATAGACCTCTGATATAATATAGTTTCATGATTGATTCATATTAACAATTAGAAATGTTTGTATTGTATTCTGTATAGGTTATAGACAATCTTAATAAAACTAAATGGAGATTTAAAACTAGATATTCAGATTTAAGAGATATTCATTAAGCTCTTAAAGAATAAACTAAAATTATATTACCTGAATTTCCAAAAAGGAAAATCTTTGGGATTACTAATGATGATCCTTAAGAAATAGAGAATAGAAAGTGTAATTTAGAAGTTTATTTGAATTAACTCTATGCGTATTGAATAATGTTTAAATAGAGTAACCCAGAATTGAATAATTCAGATATATTAGATTACTTCATATAGAACAGTAAAAGAGAATCCAAAAAACTCTAAAAGTATGATGAATAAAAAATATTATTAAAAATGGTATGTAGTATATTTACTATTTATATAGAAATTAATATAGAAATTAGAAAAAGAGAAATAATAAGATGAAAAACAAGAAAAAATATAGTAAAACAACGAGAATTCTAAAAATGAAACAAATAAAAATGATATATCTCGAAAGAATTCAATGAAAAGAATACCAAGAAAGGGATTATTTATAATAAAAGAAATGTAAGATAAATATGAAGATGATAATACAACACTTATTAGATACAGTTCGATTGCATCTAATCCATTGAATTAAATTGATTATATATAAGAATATGAGAAAGTTAATTTAGATGTTAATAAGTAGAATATGGAATATATTGATGAAGATAATTTAGTTGAGAATGGAGAAAGTAAGAGTGAAATTAAATTAAATGATCATCAATAATGATAATATTGATTGCTAATTCATTTTAATAATAATATTATATATTAAATTTTGAGATTTAATGTAGATAAATTGAATAATAATAATTGAGAATTGGAATGACAATTTAAATGTAATGTTAATTCGTCATTATTAAAATTTATTATTGATGTAATTATACACCTCATTATATCGTTTTTCAAGATTGGTTTCAAGATAGAGATTACCATTAAATTAAGCTGATCCTACAATACACAATTTAATATAGGAGGAAATAAAAAGATAAAGAGAGAGTATAAATTTGATTCCATCTGAAAACCATAGTTCAAGAGCTGTATTAGAAGCATTAGGATCTGTAATGTCAACAAAATATGCAGAAGGTACTCGGAATAATATAAATATGTATAGGTTATCCTGGAGCAAGATATTATGGAGGAACATAAGTTTATGATAAAGTGGAATTGCTATGTTAATAAAGAGCATTGAATGCATTTAATTTGAATTAGAATGAATGGGGTGTAAATGTTTAAATGTTGTCTGGTGCTCCAGCAAATTTTGCAATTTATACAGGGTTATTAGCACCAAAGGATAGAATAATGAGTTTAGATCTTCCACATGGAGGTCATTTATCTCATGGATATTAAACTGAAACAAAAAAAGTATCTGCTGTATCTAGTTATTTTGAAGTAATGCCATATAGATTAAATGAAGTAATATATATATAATATAAATATAAAGGAAACAGAACTTATAGATTATGAATAAATGGAAATATTAGCAAGAGCATTTAGACCAAAATTAATAGTTGCAGGAGCATCTGCATATGCAAGAATAATAGATTTTTAAGCTATTAGAAAAATTTGTGATAGTGTTAAAGCATATCTATTAGCTGATATTTCTCATACTGCAGGAATGATGGCAGCAGAATAATTACCTAGTCCATTTCCATATGCTGATGTTGTTATGACTACTACTCATAAATCGTATCATATTATTTATTCATTTTTCAAGAATGAGAGGACCAAGAGGCAGTCTTATTTTTTATAGAATTGGTTAAAAAGAAATTGATAAAAATGGTAAACCTGTTAATTATGATCTTAAATCTAAAATTGATTAAGCTGTCTTTCCTGGTTTATAAGGAGGACCTCATTTTCATACTATTACTAGCATTGCTGTTGCATTAGAAGAAGCTAAAACTCCGGAATTCTAAAATTATTAAAAAAATGTTTTATTAAACAGCAAAAAATTAGCTGATGAATTATTAAAAAGAAGTAAGTATCATTTCTATTATATATTCAAGACTTTTCTTTAGTTTCTGGAGGTACTGATAACCATTTAGTTTTAGTCAATCTAAAACCTAAATCTATTGATGGTGCTAGAGTAGAATCTATTTTACAAGCTGTCAATATTTCAGTTAATAAAAATACTGTACCTAAAGATAAATCAGCTTTAGTACCTAATGGTTTAAGAATGGGGTATATATATTTATATAAACAATATTATTTTTTTAGGTCAGTTCCTATGACATCCAGAGGCGTTAATTAAGATGAATTTGCTTAAATTGCTGACTTTATTGATCGTGGTGTTGCTATTGCTTAAAAACTTAAGGGAGAAACTGGACCTAAAGTCTAAGATTTCAAAGATTGGTTAAACAAAAATGCTGATTAACATCCTCATATACAAAAACTCAGAAATGATGTTGTTTCTTTCAGTTCTCAATTCCCTGTTCCTGGATTGGATTGATTAACAAATAAAAATAAATAATTATTATACATGAATAATATTGAAAACTTGTTAGACTAAACTCATCGTAATACTAGAAGAGGCATCATATTCTAACATTCGAGAAAGACCTTTACTATTAAACCAGATTCACCTAAAACTAGGGAAGCATGTTTAGCTTTAGGTTATGATCCAAATATATTTTAATTTAAGTATCAGTTTAACATTTAGTTAAATAGACAATTGGAAGATTTTGTTGAACCAGGTTTACCTGAAAATGTTTAAAAAATGCGATTTGAACATTATATGAAAAAGACTGAAGGTAAAACTGAAATCTATTTTAGGTGCTTTAAAGGAAATTAGTAAAATGCGTAAAACTATAATTAAAAAATAAAAAAATATAACTAATTTACATTTAGAGAAGAGTTTTCAGAAAGATGAAGAGTATCTATATGAATTATAATAGATTGGCAAATGATTTAATAGAAACTTACAATAAGAAAATGAGTAGCATTGATAAAGATGATAAAGAGGCTTCATATTTATCTTTTGATGAAGATGATCCAATATTAGTATTAGAATAATAATTGGAAAAAGAAATTACTAAATTTAAGAAATCATTATAAATTAAGGCTAAAGAAGTTTAACACTAATTAGAAAATGAAAAAAAAAGATAAAAAATGCAGCATGATTTGAATGAAAGAGAAAAAAGAATAGAAGAATTATAATTAAAAATATCTAAATAGAAAGCAAAGAAGAAATAATTAATGAAATAAGCTTCTTAAAAAAAATATAATGAAATTAAATAAAAAGAAAGAGATAAATAAAATAAATTACTTGAAGATAGAAAAAAGTAAGCAGAAAAATCAGAAAAAATGTAAATTAAAATTAAATAATTTTAGACGATTAAAATTAGAACAAGATGAAATTTCACATAAGAAGGAAGTAGAAGAATAGGAAAAAAAATATTAAGAAAGAAGATTATAAATATAATAACGTAAAAATTTACAAGATAGATAATATAATTAACATTTGGCATAAACTATGACTTAAATTTAATAAAAGTGGGCTGAAACATCATTAAATAAAGAAAAATAAATCTGGGAATGTAAACTAGAACGTCTTACTCTTAGAAGTTCTTTACATGAAGAAAAATTAAAGCAATATAAATTAAAAACTTTCTAAAAAGAAGAATCTTTGGTTTAATCAATTGTCTAAAGATTAGCAAATAAAGAGGAAGATCTTAAAGGTATTTAATATTATAAATTAGCTTTAAAATAATCAAAAGAAAGAGAGGAATAAAATAAAGTTAAAGATGAAAAGTTAAGAAGGAAAAAAATTGAAAAAAGTCTTAAAAATATTAAATCTTAACAATTTGATAGAGTTGATACTCTTTAAAAAAAATTTTAACTTTTAGAAGATTATAGTCTTAAAAGAAAAGAAGAATTAGATTATTAGAAGTCTTTAAAATAAGAAAGAATGAAATTAAAATAATAAGATTTAATTGAAAATTATTAAAGATAAGAAAGATTAAAAGATTTTAGATTTAAATCATTGATTAAATCCACATAATAATTAAATGAATAAAAATCTTTAGAAAAAATCTCTAATGAATTAATTCGTAAAGCACAATAAGAACTTTAAAAAAAATTAAAAAAAGATTCTGAGAATCTTGATTAGAGTCTTATGAATGTGAGTTAAGCTGATTAGAAATTTTTAAAGTAAAAAATTAAATTTATTTCTAATTAGCTAAAGAGTTAGTCAACTTGAAAAAAGTTTATCAAATCTTACATAAAATTCTAAGATCATCCACTAATGATATTTCCAATTATTAATATTCTAAATCTTCTACTATTTTTTCTCTTTTTTAAGTCTACATTTAATAATAATATCATTACACTAATTTAATCTATTTATAAAGAAAATAATTCTATTCCAAAAACATAATTTTATAAAATTAGTTTATTTATTTATTAAAATAATAGAAAATAAATAAGAAAAATATAAAAGCAATATCAATTATTTAGATTTGTCCTGTTTTTTAAATATTATATTTTGGATAATTATTAAATGACTTTATTCTTAAATGGAATATATATAATATTATAAATTAACTTTTTGTATGAAAAAGAATATTATAATGAGAAATTCAGAATATTTTTAGATAAGAAAAATAAGTATATTATACATTGATTTAAGAAAGTATTATTAATAGTTTTTTAGAAAAATGTGATATGTTGAGATAAAAAGATAATTTCCATTATTTACAATGAGAGGATCCAATATAATAATTTTAATTTATAAAATTGTAATATTTTAGTAAAATGGGTTCTTGTTGTATGAATAAAATGGAGAATGAGACATTAAATACAAATTTATCAAGTGAAATGTCAAAGAAAATAGTAATAAATAGTCCAATAGTAAAAAATATAATTGGAAAATAATTAGAAATTTTGGAAATTCCATCATATACTATATTGGATAGTGTTTTTGAATATGAAGTATTAGATGATTAGGAAAGTGAAGATTGTGAATCAACAGAGAAGAGAAGATTTAATAATGGGAAGGGGATTTTAAAATAAATAACAGCTAAATCTCAAGGGTCAGGAGGGAGTTCTGCTGGTAGTTCAAAAAAGGTATCATTTTGTAGGACAACAACTTTCTTTGAGAAAAAATCAAGGAAAGGTTTAATGTTAGAATCATAAACTTTATCTTGATTTATATAATATATGTTTTAACTTTATTTATTGTTCATACAACTATTTAAAGAAGTGGTGATCTAGTTTTATCCTTGAGATTATATTCAAATAATTCCAATAATTGAAGTAAAATTTGAATTTATTCATTTCTTGAGATTCTTGTTTATTCAAGCAGTATTATTATCTTCTTTACAAGCAATTTCAAAAGATTTTGTTTCAATATTTTTATTATCATATTGATTTGTTGAAGTAATGCCTGTTATTGAAGATCATTAATATTTATTAAGTAAATTCAGCTGCTACTTGATCATAAGTAATTTAACCTTGTAATCTAACATTTTCTTTAGAGAATTGAAGTCTAAATTTATATAATAATTAAATACAAAACTTATTAAAAGAATTTATCTGCTCAATTTTCTGCATACATTTCTCTTTTTTAAACATCATAAAGGCTTTCAATTAAATCATTAATATATATCAACATTTATTTAAACATTATCATTATCTGAATGTACTTAAGAATCTGAACATAATTCTATCCATAAAGATGTTATTCCTTTATTTTCTGAATTTTTATCATATTATTTTACTTAATTAAACAGAATCAGATAAATAATTATTCATGATGTTCTATTTAATTAAACTAAAGCTCCTTTAGGATGAAATGCTTATAATTATCTAATAATTTATTATGCTTATATTAATCCATTAGTTAAACCAATAAGTTCATTTTTTTTATGTTCAAATATTTCATGATCCTTTTTAAGTTATTCTGTAAATTTTATTTTTATCTTCCATAATTGTTTTATGTAATTTATTCTAATATTTCAGGTTACTTACCTTAAATAAATATCGAAAGTATAATAAATAGAATGATTTTCATAAATAATATTAATAAAACAAATATGCTAATTTAAAAAGGAATTTAAATTTTGTTAGATAATCCTAATGAAATTGTACCAAGTGAAGATTTGTAAATTTGTAAAGATCACTAATCATTTTTTAAGAAAATATGTGCATTTTGTTCATTTTCAAAAGAGCCTGAAGAATTTTACTGTAAAATAAAATTAGAGAAACCTTTAAATTTCTTTATATTTGATATTTAGGAAAAAAAATAGTTTGATATTGCATTATTCAATGCAGGAATATCAAGTTATGATTAATTAATACATAAGAATGAAATCTAAAACTTAAAATAACAAGGCAATAACCCTAAAGATATTGCTATTAAATTAGGATTATATACATAATAAGATATTGATGAATTAATTCTTGAAGCAATTGGTGAAGGATTAGAAAATAATGAATAATTCTCTATCACTATAGATTTTTGGGAAAAGAGCAAAACCACAACATATCTAAAAAGAGCAATATAAATATTAGAAAATTTAAATTTACAGAATTCTATTATAATATTTCCATCAAATAAGGCTAACATCGTAAAGCTTCCAGAAGAAGATTAAATGAATGCTTAAAAATTCTTAGCATCAGATGATGTAATAAATTAACAAGCAACTGCATTAAAAATGGATGTTATAGATATGATAAGAAAAAGTTATTTTCCTGAGTATAAAGATGTTTAAATTAAGAGAATATTGAACAATTTAATAAAACCTCTTCAAGCTATACCTTTCTCTGGTGAAATTGTATATTTTTCTGATAATCATACAGATTTATAATAATTTGCTAATAAATTCGGTAAATAAATGAGCAAAGTTAATATTTATTGTGATGCAAATGATATACCCAAATATTATAATATTGGAGGATTAACAGGAGGTTAAGTTTTAAAAATGTCTTCAGATGAAAAAAGATAAATCACACATAGAATTAAAGCCTTTATTTCCAATAACTATATATTTACTGAAACTTAATCAAGTGTCTTAGAAAAATCATACACTGAAATTAATTTACCTATTGAATTAGATTTTAAATTAATAGACCCTAATGATGATCATAATTAAACTGGGTCTATTTAAGTTATATTCCAAGATGAAAATGGATGTTTTGTTTAATAATTAAGTATCAAAAGTCATGATGTCAATGATATGCATGAACCAAGTGTGTCATTAAGTGTATAAACAATGAATTTAACAGAATTACCTAAAGAATGAGAAATATTATATTTTACATATAAAGTGAATCAAATATATATTATTTTATGCAATCTTTTATTTTGAATAAGCAACATTTATATTTTTATATAGAATATTTATATTTCAATAAATTTATCTCAAACTCTTATTTAAATTATTGTTATAAAATTTAAAATAAATTATTATATATTAAACTAGCAAATCTCTTATTTATATTCATTTATGGAAGCTTTTTATTAGAACATCCATATAGTTTTAAATAATCTTTCTATTCAAATAAAAATCAAATATTTATCATCCTTTTAGCTTTTAACACTGTATTTAAATAGTGAAATTAATGATTTTAATAACAACGTTGATTGAGTTAAAATTATAAAATAATTTATATTTATTAATAACGCATTTTAGAGATCCTTAATTAAATTATCTAAATTTATTGGAGATCAATAGATTTCTTTATTTTAAACCTTATATCTTTTAAGACATTCTATAATGATTTTTTATTAGTCAAATTGAATAATTAAATATTACAAATTGACCTATGATAAAGAAGTATATATAAATAAAATTATAAGTTATTAATAAATAATAGAAAATGTAGTATATTTTCTTAAATTATCATTATTATTATGAAATTTATAATATTTGAATAGTTGTCTTGTTTAGCTCATTTACCTCATAATAGCCAACCTTCTGAGTTTTGGATTATTACAGTTGCTTTCATAATGAATGTTTAATACCTTGCAATAATGTTACCAATTAGTGGTTGGAATTTATGGAAATACAGTAATGGACACTTTTATCTATTACAAAAGCTAGCTCAGACTTTCCTTGTTATTCCTTATGCCTTTGAGTCTAATTTTAACTTTGGGGATATAGTATTTGGCCTTGTTATTTTACTTTTAATCACTTTAATTACAATAATCATTACTTTGGTGATCTTAGGAATATAGGATAATATCAATCCTAATTTGCATTATTCATTAAGGAAGTCTATTTTTTATTTCTTTATACTTAGTACAACTGTATTTTAATTACCAATCCTATTTTTATTAATTCCTTTCATTATGATAGGAAAAACTAATTTTAATTAAGAGTTGACAATTTTTAATGTAAAAAGTATTTTGAGCCTATTAACACTATTTATATTCTCAATATTTGTATTTTTGCAACAATATTTTTTGAGAGCATATACATTTGTTCCATTTAATTTTTTCTAATAAAAGTATAATGGATTATAATCTATTTAATACTGTCTTTCAATTTTAATTACAATATTATATTTAGTTGATTAAGATACAATTGTTTAATATATACAAATACTTATAATATTCCTAGAATTATTTTTAAAATTAATCGAATCAATTTATATGAAACCATCTATTCCATAGATAAATTAATTACAATTTTCATTTAATTTTACTCTTATCACAATCTTAATTATTTTATGTATAAACATTTTTACAAACAATAGTTATATTTTTTAAGAAGAACAACTGATTTATGTAATAATGTTATTAGGATTANAGCTTTTAACACTGTATTTAAATAGTGAAATTAATGATTTTAATAACAACGTTGATTGAGTTAAAATTATAAAATAATTTATATTTATTAATAACGCATTTTAGAGATCCTTAATTAAATTATCTAAATTTATTGGAGATCAATAGATTTCTTTATTTTAAACCTTATATCTTTTAAGACATTCTATAATGATTTTTTATTAGTCAAATTGAATAATTAAATATTACAAATTGACCTATGATAAAGAAGTATATATAAATAAAATTATAAGTTATTAATAAATAATAGAAAATGTAGTATATTTTCTTAAATTATCATTATTATTATGAAATTTATAATATTTGAATAGTTGTCTTGTTTAGCTCATTTACCTCATAATAGCCAACCTTCTGAGTTTTGGATTATTACAGTTGCTTTCATAATGAATGTTTAATACCTTGCAATAATGTTACCAATTAGTGGTTGGAATTTATGGAAATACAGTAATGGACACTTTTATCTATTACAAAAGCTAGCTCAGACTTTCCTTGTTATTCCTTATGCCTTTGAGTCTAATTTTAACTTTGGGGATATAGTATTTGGCCTTGTTATTTTACTTTTAATCACTTTAATTACAATAATCATTACTTTGGTGATCTTAGGAATATAGGATAATATCAATCCTAATTTGCATTATTCATTAAGGAAGTCTATTTTTTATTTCTTTATACTTAGTACAACTGTATTTTAATTACCAATCCTATTTTTATTAATTCCTTTCATTATGATAGGAAAAACTAATTTTAATTAAGAGTTGACAATTTTTAATGTAAAAAGTATTTTGAGCCTATTAACACTATTTATATTCTCAATATTTGTATTTTTGCAACAATATTTTTTGAGAGCATATACATTTGTTCCATTTAATTTTTTCTAATAAAAGTATAATGGATTATAATCTATTTAATACTGTCTTTCAATTTTAATTACAATATTATATTTAGTTGATTAAGATACAATTGTTTAATATATACAAATACTTATAATATTCCTAGAATTATTTTTAAAATTAATCGAATCAATTTATATGAAACCATCTATTCCATAGATAAATTAATTACAATTTTCATTTAATTTTACTCTTATCACAATCTTAATTATTTTATGTATAAACATTTTTACAAACAATAGTTATATTTTTTAAGAAGAACAACTGATTTATGTAATAATGTTATTAGGATTAATATCATATCATTTAAGTTAATAATTTTACTCTATGAGATGTTTATCAGTCTTTGATTATGAAATAACTCCATTCAATTGTATTTTCTATACCTAAGAAATGCATTTTAAATATTTAATAACATCAGAAAACTAAAAAAACAAAGAATTTTTTCAGCTTTATTTTTATTGGAAGGGACATAAAATAGTTTGTTAAAAACATTGGTTGAAATCAAATTATAAGACTGATTATAATTAAATTTAAAGAACCCATTAAACTATTTTTTGTATCCTAAACACAGAATTAGAAAGAGCATAATAAGATTCAAAGACAGCTTATGAGGAATTGTAACTCTTATATATTAGTTATGTTGCTTAATTTTGTAAGAAACCACTCTTAGCATATGTAGAATTAAAACGTTATCAAAGTAAATAATAAATTTAATCCTTTTATTTTATTTCAATAAGATATCAAATGAGTGTTTATCTATAAACACTTATAAAATATCAATAATAAACTAATTTATAAATTCATAATTAATAAAGGGTTGCTATCACCGAGAAATAATTGAGTATATAATCAATTTTTGATGCTCTCTAATTTTAAGATCAATTTATTCCAAGTGTGATAGATTTATTAAATGATAAGATTAATTTTTGGAATAGATAAATTAAGGGTTTTAATAATATTTATGAATTAGAAAGATTAGCAATAAATTAAAGCAAGAAAATATTTAATTTAGCTAATTAAATTAATAAATATTGTTCAATAGATATTAAGAATCTAGATCATTTGTCTGTATCTAATAATGTATAAGATTTAAAATTGATCTCTATTTTCTGTAGTTCTATTATGAATGATTATTATAGTACTTAAATATGCGAGACAGCAATCAGTGAAATTTATAATATAGAGCATACACTATAAGAAGATACAATAACAAATTTATCATTTATTTAAGAAAGAGCAGTAATTTTGATGTTAAGTTTGGTTAAAAATAGAGGTAAGATAATCAATTAAGATAAAAAATTGATTTCTTAATTTTTTAATTATACTGAGTAAGAATTTGCTTAAATAGATAATATATCTGGACTTATGCCTACATTTTTTGCAGAAAAACATGATAAATTATTATTAAATTATTTGTAAACAGCAAAATCTTAATTTTTTGATGATTACAATTAAATTTTTGGTTAATCAAAAGAAGGAATGTTGATTTCATATTAATTAAAATTAGATAATAATTTTAGTGAATTAGATGATTATGTATTAATTGGTTGTCTTACATAAGTAAAAAAATCATCAGATTATTTATTATTTGGTGATGATGGTTTTATAATTGGAATGACTGAAAATTTTTATTAAACAATTATTAATGGTAAAGATTAATCATATAGAATATTACATGAAAATGTGAGTCAACTAAATGCATTTTTTATAATACCAAATATAATGGAATTATTGAACGAATTAAAAAATAGTTATGGAAAGGATTCTATTTATGTTTAATAGGATAAATTTTATAAAATATGGAAGTATAACAATAACAAAGATTTATATGAGATGTCTGTAAAATTGGGTTATTCATCAAAACAAAACTCTTTTATTCACGATAGTAGTTTATTAAAATCTAGAACATCTTTTGCTTCTATTGAGAAAGAGAAGGCAGATATTTAAATTTATTAGTAACTGGGATAATCAACTAATGAGAAAAAGAAGTTAAAAGGAGTTTCTATTTTATAAGCATTAACAATATACAGTGTTGCTTTCAATAACTAATTATTGAATTCTTTATAAATTTTNTATAATCAATTTTTGATGCTCTCTAATTTTAAGATCAATTTATTCCAAGTGTGATAGATTTATTAAATGATAAGATTAATTTTTGGAATAGATAAATTAAGGGTTTTAATAATATTTATGAATTAGAAAGATTAGCAATAAATTAAAGCAAGAAAATATTTAATTTAGCTAATTAAATTAATAAATATTGTTCAATAGATATTAAGAATCTAGATCATTTGTCTGTATCTAATAATGTATAAGATTTAAAATTGATCTCTATTTTCTGTAGTTCTATTATGAATGATTATTATAGTACTTAAATATGCGAGACAGCAATCAGTGAAATTTATAATATAGAGCATACACTATAAGAAGATACAATAACAAATTTATCATTTATTTAAGAAAGAGCAGTAATTTTGATGTTAAGTTTGGTTAAAAATAGAGGTAAGATAATCAATTAAGATAAAAAATTGATTTCTTAATTTTTTAATTATACTGAGTAAGAATTTGCTTAAATAGATAATATATCTGGACTTATGCCTACATTTTTTGCAGAAAAACATGATAAATTATTATTAAATTATTTGTAAACAGCAAAATCTTAATTTTTTGATGATTACAATTAAATTTTTGGTTAATCAAAAGAAGGAATGTTGATTTCATATTAATTAAAATTAGATAATAATTTTAGTGAATTAGATGATTATGTATTAATTGGTTGTCTTACATAAGTAAAAAAATCATCAGATTATTTATTATTTGGTGATGATGGTTTTATAATTGGAATGACTGAAAATTTTTATTAAACAATTATTAATGGTAAAGATTAATCATATAGAATATTACATGAAAATGTGAGTCAACTAAATGCATTTTTTATAATACCAAATATAATGGAATTATTGAACGAATTAAAAAATAGTTATGGAAAGGATTCTATTTATGTTTAATAGGATAAATTTTATAAAATATGGAAGTATAACAATAACAAAGATTTATATGAGATGTCTGTAAAATTGGGTTATTCATCAAAACAAAACTCTTTTATTCACGATAGTAGTTTATTAAAATCTAGAACATCTTTTGCTTCTATTGAGAAAGAGAAGGCAGATATTTAAATTTATTAGTAACTGGGATAATCAACTAATGAGAAAAAGAAGTTAAAAGGAGTTTCTATTTTATAAGCATTAACAATATACAGTGTTGCTTTCAATAACTAATTATTGAATTCTTTATAAATTTTAGAAGTAAAGTATTATTTATGTTTAGAGCAAAACTAAACAACATTACGTTGCTAAAATAAATATAGTATACAAAATGATTGGAAAAAAGGATAATAGGAAGAGTTATTTTATTTTGGAAATAAATGATTTGAGGAAGGCAGATGAATTATTTAAGACAAATGATTCATTGATGAATAATTAACATACTTTTTCAATATAGACAACAAATAAAGGGAATATACATACAGCCTAAGATCCAAGCGATAGTTACTTAGGAAATATGATTGTAGATAAAGAAGAAGTAACACCAAATATTTCAAAGTAATTCTAACCTGGATTTGCAAGACTTTTAAATAAATATGAGGGTAAATAATAAGCATAATAAAATTACATGGATTTATTAGGAATGGAATCAGCAAGAGATAGTATCAGTTATGGTCCATTATCTTAAAGAATTAATTTTATTAGTCCTTCTTCCAAATAATAACATATGTAGGAATTAATAGATAAGGATTTTATGGATTTATAAAATTAATTAGAAGTAGGAAATGAAGATATTGCTAATGATATTGATATGCCAGATTCATCTAAAGTTAAAAGCAACAGCAAAGATTAAAATTAAAAGAGTAATAATCTAATTGAAATTTTACAGAATAATAGATTAAATTAAAAAAATGATGACATTGACAGAGAAGCCAAGAAATCAAAATCTAGTATTACCTCTGGAACTTCAGGAATTTCCGCTATTTCTACAATTAAAAAGTTTTAATAAAAAACTGAAATGACTAATAGTCTTAGAACTCTTGCTGTTATTAATATTATGATTATGATTATAGTACTCACTTATATAATAGCTCATCTATTAAAAATTGCTACTTATAATTATTAAACTTAATTAACACTTTCCAATATTAATGGACCTACTATATTTAATAGATATTTTTTTAAAGTATTTACTTATACTTGGAGTTTGGTTTTCAACAGTCTTGGAATTATTGAAAGTAGTGAATTCTTAATTACATAAACCATTTCTGAAATGAAGGATTTAGCAGTAATTATTTTTAATGATCTAAGAAATATGTATGATACTTTTATTGGAATTGAATCATCAGGAATGCTTAAATTAATCAACCTAGATTTTCTATATTAAAACAATGAAAATGTTACATATACTTATTTTATTAATATTATTTCTAATGTTGCTGATACTCTATTTCAAGCTCTTAATTATAATATAAAGACTCTTATTTAATTAATTGATCGAAATTATATTGATAATTTACTTATGCTTAGATATAATTTAAAAAATGTTGTTGAAATGAATTTTTAATTAATTGATTCACTAAATGAACTATTCTTCGAATAATAAAGTAATTAGATATAAGAATTTTAAACATAAATTATAATAGAAATAATTTTATTGATATTAATTATAACTAGTTAATTAATTTATTGGAAATAAATTGAATAATATAGTTAATAAATTTTAATTTTAGTTGGAAGACTCTAATTAAATTAAGCCTAAGATATGATAACTAGATTTACAGCTGTTATAGAAACATTAAAATAATTATCTGGAAAATTTGGATGGAAAAAGTAAAATTATTATAAATTACTATTTTTTCCATTAAATTAGATTGGAATTGAAGCTATGCAAACTTAATCTAGAGTTCTTAAAGAGTATTAATTATCTTAAGTTGGTAATCAAACAATTAAATTAAATCATATTATTGAAGATAGAAAAAACTATAAAAAAAATCTAAACGTTGTACTCAACTCAAAAATAAATAACCCTAATACTTCTATTTTGAGTGCAATTATAATAATAATAATAACTAGTCTTATCTTTTTATTTTACCTTCTAGGAGGATATTTATTATTTTAAAAATAACAAAATGATTTATTACCAACTTAATAATTAACTCTTAGTTATATACGATTTACTTCTCAATTAGATATAGTAGTAAGCACAGCTTTGATTACTAAAACTTAACCAATTTTATATAATAAACTTATTGACTTAAATATTTACACAGATTAAGAAATGGAAACTTTTAGAGATTAACGTAAAATAATCTAAATATTTATTTCTCTTTATTCAATCTATTTTGAAAATATTACATAAATTTATGAAAATATTATTTAATCAAACAAAATTACATCAGATGATGAAAATACTTTACTTTTGTTGTATTCAAGTGATTTCTGTGAATTATTAAGTTCTGAAATACCATTTTGTAATTATGAAAATACTACTAATTTTGATTCAGTTTATGGGAAACCTACTCGATTAGATGACAATAGAGATTATTTAAGTAAAGGAATTTAAGGAGTTGTTAGTAAATTAGATTCTTTTTTTAAATAAAATTATAATTATGAAACAAATAAAGTAGATTATCAACCAGATTAATAATTAGTCAAAGACCTTTTTAATACAAGAGAATTTACAAATACATTAATTGAACATTTTTTAGATACTACAGAAGGAACTAATCTATTTCTTGATACTATTATGAAATCTGTCATAAATATTACTGAAAAGGATCTAAATTTAATATATACTTATTATTTGGTTATGGGATTAATGCTTTTAATTATTTATCTTATTTTTTATGGTTGCTGGATATATTTAACAAATCAAAGACTAATATAATTGAGATTAATCTTAACTAATTTACCCATTGAAGTATTGACAGAACAACATACACTATCGTTATTGAAAAAATTGTAATGAAAATAAGTATCTATGTGTATTATTAAATATATTTAATTGTATAAGTTATTTATTATATCAAAAGGATCTCTAAGCTCTCATGGATTTTCCTCTAGATTGTCTCATTCTTATATAAACTTTTTATCTTTAAAGCAATTTCTATATAGCTCCAAAATAATTTGATTTTGAATCATTAAAAAATCTATACAATTTTCTGGAACCTACTTTTAAGTATCGAAATCTTTCATATAAAAATTATAAATCTTTTTATTCAACAGCTACTCTACATTATTATTTAATTTCTAATTCGTTAACTAAATTAAATTCTATCTTTTCAAAGAAAAATTTCAAATCTATATCACCTAATTATTCTTTGTATTTACAAATACAATCTACTAGAGTGTATATTACTTTTAATCTAAGTGCATTTTTTTAACACATTTTTTTAATTACAGGTAATAAATTAATGAATATCTTACTTAAATTCTAATTAATAGGATAATCTCTTTATTAAATATTTGTAAGTTCTTTTTTTGTAAATTTAGGTAAAGATAGACATATATAATACAAGAGAACACTGATTTCTTATGGATTAATATATAAATCATCAATACTAGCTAAATAATGAATCAGTTATTCATCTAGAAAAGGATATTGAATTCTTTTAAATTCATATAAAGCATTGATTGCAAGAGAAATCATTTATTTATTTTATTCATTATTGGCAAGTTATTTTCTAATTTATTTGGCACATTTTTAAATGATGGAAATTTCATTTGGCCACAATTATCTACTTACTACAATGATTTTTTTTAATGAATTTTCATCAGTTTCAGTATCTAATTTATTTAATATTTTTTCCTTCAATTCAACTTTTTAAATATCTCCAAGTTTTTATATATCTCCTAAAAGTATTTCAGTTAGATATGAATTTAGATTTTAGTTATCAATTAATTCAATACTTTATGATTGATGCTCAATATTCATATATATGTCATATTCTTTATCTCCCTATAATTATTTTTCTTTAGCACAAAGTTTACGAAATTCTTTTAATTCAGATATATCATATTTATTTGCTTTTAATATATTAATTGTTCTTATAATTTCTAATAAAGTAGATTCTCTTTTAGTAAGAATCCTAAATTCATCAATAAGATGTCTTAGTAAATTCATGATATCAAATTTAATATTAATTTTTTAATGAGCAAATTATTAAAGTAATTAACAAGTATATAATAAATTTGATTCATTAAGTTTTTACAATAGAATACGATTGAATACTAAACTCCAAGTTTCATTAGGTAATTTATTAGTTTGAGATCTTTTAGATCTTTAATATAATACCAATTCATTTAAAAATTCTAATTCTTAAGATTATTCAATATTGTAATGAACTAAATTAAATGTATGAATAGGAATAACTGATAAATTAAGTTTTTAACATAGTATTAAATGTTTAAATAACTTATGTAATTAAATTGGACGATAGACAGTAAGTGAAAGTTCATATTACTCAATAAATTAAGCAATTCCTTCACATTTTAATAAATTGATAGGAACATCATATATATTATGATTATTAATTAATAATTAAGTTAATTTGTAATTATTAATTTTAAGCAAGTCTTCAATCCCATATAATTCAGAATACTTATTTATAATTTATTTAAGAAGATCATTAGGTTATGTTTCAATTCTGAAAAGATTTTAAATTAACATTCTCCAATTAGTAATTTGCTTAACATCACAATTAAGTAGTGTATTAAAATAATTCTGTTTATGTTATTGAAATTACTCTAGAAATGTATGACTTCGTGTAGATTAATGACTTAGATAATAGTATCTCTCAGTGTCTTGTATTAATTGTTTTGAAAGAGTTGAGAATTAACAAAATTTTCTAAATTACATAATTAAATATTTTATTATGTTTAAAAACATCATTCTTCTCTTTTAATAGAAACTTAAGGGTTTTTCTTTTATTTAGCTCTCTCTAGCATTTCTAATTTGATTTGATAACTTCTGCAATGATATAAAATACATCCGATTAACAATAGAATTATAGACATCAAAATAATTGTAAGATAAATAGTAATTTACTACTATTAAGGTGAAAGCAAAGGTTTTTTGATTTCGAAATCATAGAGATGATTAGTTATGCAATATTGAAGATGATTAGATTTATCAGTTTTCTTTTCACAATCAGTACTTTTGATTTCCATCTTAAAATATATTAATAAAATTACATTTGCTTAATACAGTCCAGAATCAATATCATTGCTATTACATATTATAATAGAGGGATATGATCTATAAATGAACATATATAATCCATGAGGTGAAATTGCAAATAGAGTTTCATTATTATTACCATATTTATTTACACCTAAGAGATTTCCACTAAAAAAATAATTATCTCTATATTAAATATATATTTAAATTATTACAATCTTTTTGCATCCTAATCTAAATATTATTCAGGCATTTAAATAAGCATAATTTTATGATCATGTAAACCACGAACTATCGCAAAATTATCATCTATTATGTCAGCTCTTCTTAATTAACTTTTTGTGTATATTTTTCTCATTTCTACATAATCATCATCTTATACAAATAACTCTACTATCTAAGAATTAGATTAATAATTTTATATTAAAATTATTGTTGAACCTCTAACCGAAAATGATTTACAATCTTAATATTTAATCAATCCCAATTTTCCATTTTTTGTAAAACTTCCATTAGAATGGATATTAAATTATGTTATTCCATGGTAATAATCTAAAATATATAATTTATCTTAAAAAATTGCAACATCTACTATTCTTGATGAATCTGATTAAAAATCATATAAATCTTAATTATTAATATTTTTAATAAATCTTAAACCATGTAATTAGATTTCATAAATAAAAAGACCTTATGAATCTTAAGCTGAATATAGCCATCCATTATTAGCAATAACTCTGAATTTATCATTTGGTTTTTACCATCCTGCCATTGGTTTATGTTATATTTCATTATTAAGAAACTAATATTTGATAACTTAATTATTTTCATTTAAAAAGGCATAGAAATATTTTGATTTTTCATCATATACCAATTATGTTGTCTATTAATTATTATTTAGTAAAGGTAGTGTATAATTAACAATAGATAAATTTTATGAGCTGGTATCAATATAATATACTTTAGCTTTTGAAGATAATATACTAATTCCTTCTGGACTTATTGCATATGATGATAATTTCTCATTATATCCACGATATAAATCATCTTCACTTAATTCATCGATATCTTTTTTTGCTAATTCATGTACTAATGATATAAATCCAGATGGAGATTGATGTATTGTTACTCCTTAATAATAAGGTGAACAAAATTAATCTGATCCATCCATACTTGTAAATTTCACAGACCTAATATCATTTAAAGTATAATTTACAAAATGTTGCCTAAATCATCTAATCTTTTAATGAATGATTATTATTCTACATTCATCATTATTTTTGTTGTATGTTCCTCAGTATCATTTAAGAAACTAAAATTCAAACACATGCTTTTCCCTAACAAAATAAAATAAAGCAACAACATATTTATCTTTATATTAATAATTTATTTAAGTCAAATTAAAAATAATTGAATAACAATTATATATATATATGTTCATTATAAGATCTTAAGCAAGGATATTGTATATATATCTAACATTACTTCAACAGGCAACAAAGTTATCAATAACCTTAAATGTATCAATCTTAAATTCACCCTTATTATCATAAAAACAGAAGATACTATTAAAAAAACTACCAAAAATATCCCTATCAAATACTAATACAAATCCTATGTATTTTATTATTCTGTTATTAAATTTATTATAGATTCTTGAATCAAATTAAAAAAATACTCGAAACCTCGGTATGTATCTAAATAATGTTATATTACAATATTATTAAAGTCCTAACTATTTAATTATTAATTTAATTTAATTAAGTCGCTATCTAGTTCCCCAGATTGATATTCATACTCAAAATATTATAATAAAAATGCATCCACCTTACTAACTATTCCAACAATCCCAGATTTTAAATATTATGAATTATTATCCTTACTTTCATATAAACCAAATTCCGTTGTAAATTGTTACGATGTTAAACTTTTATTACAAAATGGAATTTAATTATTATCAAAGATTAAACAAAAATCATTGTTGTATAAAGTTAAAATATATGTTTCATCTTCACCATTTATTATATCATAATCTATTATTTTTTAATAAATTTAATTTAAATCGCTATGATTAAAACTATATGCTTCTATTAAAACATTAGCAGCATTTACTTCTATATCATATTTATCAAGGATAAGCTTCTCCTCATTTATTACATTTTCCATTACATTATAAATTTATTATTGAGATTTTATAAGAAGAGCGACAGATATTGCATTCTCAAATTTTATGTAAAATTAAATATAATCCATAGCCAATTCATATGCAGGATCCAATTCTAATTAATGTTTTTTATACAATAAGAAATTGCCCAATAAAAAGAAGCATAAAAACGATAAATAAATCACTACATAAACTAATTTCATCATTATATTAACCTATACATTCTAGATTCTAGAATTTAAAGGGATAGTCGATAAACCAGATTTTTTTGTCAAATTTTCCTATTATTATTTAGCTGCTTTTGAATTCATTAAAATTGATTAAAACTTTGATCTATATTACTTAAACTCTTTTTTGCTCTACAACATATCTGTATAACATAATTTATAACAATTTTACTACTTAAATCCTAATTCTCCAAATGTTTGCTTAATTATTTAACCAACTAATCTGAATTTAATTATTTAATTTTCTGCTCCTCTTTCAGTCAATCTGTTGGATAATAAAAGAATCTTTTAACAATATAGTTCAATCTTTCTCCAGTAGAATAACTAACTTAATATAAATATGCCTATTATTATTATTTCTGTCAAAATCTAATTAAATAACACTGTTATTTTTCCTTCTTATTAATCACGGTAATATTATCCTAAAGATTGGATTATTTAAAAATTATTTTTAATAATATTAGCAAAATTAATTCTATATTTTAATAGGTTTGACAAATAAATTGAGTTTGATTCAAAATGCATAAGCCTGTATCCAATTTATTCAAGATAATATATATAATCAGTAAAATCAACATTCTCTACATACATTGAATTGTCTAAATGAGTAATATTTAAATTTTCTAGATATCCATCTTCTTCTAATGAAATAAAGTTAGAATACATTACAGTCAAATTGATGAAAGTGGTTTCCATTCTTTTATTTTATAAGTTCATCTAATTATTAATAAATTGACTTGTTGTTAAAATATTATTAATTGATAATGAAGTGATCCATGAATAAGTAAACAGGTTTAAAAAATACTTATTTAGATTTATAGGTAAATTAATATCTGATATAAATTTTGTTACTTAATTATTAAAGATGCTAATTTATGACCAATTTATAATCATAAAAATAAGAAATAAAATAAGAATGATAAATTTGATTAATGATATAATTGCTAGACTAGATATTAATGAAGTTTTGGTTTTAAATTTATTTACTATTTCTATAGCAGTTTATCCAGAATTACCAGATTTAGTAGTAGATTAAGATTTAAGTATTCCTACCCCATGATTTGATTTGTATTCATTTTAATGTTACAAAACTTATTGTATTTCATTACTAAATAATTCTTCACTAAAATTTTCAGAATTAGCTTATTCTAATGAACCCATTAGATTTAATCTTCTTTCACTTACATAATGTAAAATTTAACTATTAACAGGAGATTTTTCAAGAAAGCTTTTCTTTTATAAAACTGAACCATTAGGACTCATTAAAGAAGAATCCATTTAATAATCTGGACTTTTTGGTATTGTCTAAAATTATTAAACAAAACTTTGTCTATGACTTGATTATCTTTTAGCTAATCTACGAATAGGTAAATTTTATCTTCTGATTTGTTTTTTTTCATCATCTTATTAATTAGATTTATCTACAAATTCTGATAACTCTAAAATAAAATAATTTTATTTATTTTCTTTTTTTCCCAAAGCAGTTAATTGTATTTTAACTGTACAAAAATAAATTGTTTTTTTCAAAACCTATGGATTTATTATTTATAATTACTTCAATCGCATTTAAGAAATCTATTATTTCATTTTCTTTTATTGAAGTCACATTCTATTAGGTTGTCGCGATATTTTGTTTCTATTATTTCTAACCAATTTTAAAGAAATCTAAACTACTTTATTCTAGATTCTTTACATCTTCCGTTGGATTGAATGGTTTAGTTTCTGAAATAAGTCTCTTCATATTATTATTTTTTGGACTAGTAACTATAGAAATCATCTATTCATATTATTAAGCAATTCCTGGTTATTCTACAAATTTCTGGGAGGGCTATTGATATGAACTTAATATTGTTTGATGCATTTTTTATAGATCAACGAAATCTTAAAATACATAGAGTAATACAGATTTTTATTAAACAGCTCCTTCATTATTATTTGCAGAATTATTTTAAATGTCATTCATATAAATATGAATATGAGGCAAAAACATGTAAACAAAAAAAGAATCAATATTTGCCAAAAAATATTCTATATGATCCTATGGTACAAGTAATTTACTTAATTATTAGGTGATTCCTATACACCTACCATACTCATCAAAAATCAAATAATTATGAATTTCCTTTTCTTTAGTTATACTGCCTATTAAAGTGAAGTCATCATTGATTTCAAAATTATTATAAATATTTAAATACTATGGTATTAAAAATCCATTTTTTCCTTAAGCAAAAGTTAATGTCTCTCTTGATGCCAAATCTGTTCTTGCTTCTTTGATATAGACTTGTAAAAATTAGTCATGTTTACTTCCAAAATAATTAGGCATTAATTGTTTAACACTTACTATCTGTTGAAATTCTGAATTCGAATATCCAAAATAATTTGCTAATTAATTTTTGTTCTAATTTAAAATTTATCCCAATTATTTAACTATACTAATAATTATTAATATTGTTTCATCTTTTAAAATATTTGAACGTGTTATCACATTTTAGTCATAAGTAGTTTCAATTTTCATAATATCTTGTATTTTCTCTTCACATAAATAAGCACTATAATAATCATTCAAAACAAAACTGTGAAACATTGAGCATATTTTTAATCTCAATATATTATCGCAATTTTTTATATAATCTTCCTATATTACATTTATACTTTAACTTCTTAAATAAAAAATACATTCTATTATTTATTTACTTAATTAAGTAGCTAAATTTTCAAATTGATATATTGATTTGCAACCAGATATTTGAGATTCCCATATTGAGATTTTAAGTTAAATTAAATTAGAAACTTTTTCTTGAAACTTCTCCTCTATTAAAGAATATTCATATAATTCTGTAGGACTTATACTTTTAATTAGTGCTGCATTTTTTAAAAATGATTACTCTTTCTCATATATTAATTATATTGCTTAAATCTTCTTTTACAAATGTCTATCTATTCTACCTTTCATTAATTAAAAGTATTAAGACTTCTATATATTGGCATTTTATTCAAATTTCTTAAATTCTACATAACCTATTAATGGTTTATTTCTTATTAAAGCTAAAAAGGAAACAAAAAGTAATTAAAGTTCTTCCAATTCACTTTTCTATGAATCTTTCAAATTTATAAATATTTCAGTTATTATATACAATCCTAATTTAAAATAATCATGCATTTTAGTGCTCTTTTAATTTAAAATAACTTTTCTTTGAAATTGTGAAAAGTTCTTATCGTTTATTAACTAATAAATGATGAGATTATAAGTTGTAATTGAGTTTGAAGTTATATTTCCAATGTATGAATACAATTAATAAATTTAATAAAGTTATCTTGTTTAAGAATCTAAATTTAATTAAAGTAAAAAAGTAAACATTAGATTTCCTAGAATCATACCTAAACTAAAAATAAACATAATATAAATTCCAATTTATTATTCTGGAAAGATTTAATTTTCTGAAAATACATTGACTGTTATTAATATAGCAATTGATTCTAAAGTAAATGAAACTTCAAAATGAATCATATTTTTATTAGGTGCCTCTGGTTTATAATATAAATGATTAAGCATTTTCAAAATAAATATTAAATGAAGCATTAATAAACCAATCAAATTGTATAATCTAGATTCCTAATCTAAAGTTAATACTATAGCTGTCAAATTTAGAAGAATTTAAATAACTCTTAAACGTGTAAATTTTTATTGCATTGGATGATAAGGTGTAAATGAATATTACCTTAAAAAGTATTCACTTAAAAAGATGTACAAGCAGTACAATATTATCGAAATTATATTTATTATTAATTAATTCTCAAGGTTTTTTTGTTGTGCCTCTATAATTTATTAAATATAGAATTTATAACATGGGATTTGAAGAGTTTGAATTGTAAATAAGATAACTGTGCATAAAGTACTTGTTCTACCTTCTTAATATTTTACTTTCTTGTCATCAGATTTCATTTCTAAGGTAAAAATACTCAAATATAATATAAGTCCTACCATAATTATTAAACTAAATATTGTAAATGGATAATAAATGAAGTTGTTTTAGAATTCAAAAAAAGGAGTTATTGTAAAATATGAGCATGCTTTTTAAATGAATGATAAATAGCCATCTTTATAATTCCAATAAGACCACCCATGAGATGGAAGTAGAAGGGATAAATATTATATATAAGGAATGATGAGAATAACACTTATCAATGTATTTCCAGATGAATTCTAATGCTAAGAATGGGCAATTATTGTTAAGTTGTCTATCAAAGTTATTCTCATTAAATTATTTTATGAATTATACACAATTAAACAAACTTATTTATCAAGTGTATTTTAAAATTAATTATAATTCAACAACTGAATAGTCGGATTTCAAGAATTCAATTAAAATGAAGTCTTGACTTATCAAATATTATTAATTTATATTTAAAATCAATAATAAATCAACTGAATTCAATCAATATCATTTTAATCTTATTGAAATATACTATATTATCTACTATACCTCAATATGATCTATCTATTTACTAATTATATATGTAATGTTCTTTTTTATAAATTCTTCTTTAAATCAGCAACTATTTATCTGTTTATATAAAATATATTAATTAATTTTATTAATTTAAGGCTAGATAATTTAAAATTTATTGTATAAAAATTAATAATGAATACCTAAGTTAAATTGAAATTCAATTTTGACAAAATTGAATAAAAACAAAGTATTTAAGAGATTTTAGAAAAACTCTAAGGCTAAATTATCTTAGAATTTGATGCTTAAAAATAAAATGCATTAATTTAATATCAAAACTTTATGATTGAGTAACACAATATTTTTTAATTGAATGATCAAAATTAACTTCAATAAGATCCTCTATACAATTAATTACACTATAATGAAGTTATAGGTATACCAAATATAATTAAATTTATTGCTATTCATAATTTGTTGCAGAATCACTTTTAACAAAAAGCTTATTTATAATAAATGAAAATTTTTCCAGATTGGAATTTAGGTGAATACAAAGCAAAAAAATAACTTAATTAGAGTTAATAAAATCTTTTAAATTAAATAAATTAGTAAATTAAAAGCATTGTTGTGTATTCTGTCTTTTGTACTAATTATGTAGAGAAAAGATAAAAAATTATTTTTTTATAAAAATCTTTATATGAGATTGCAAAAATTTTAGAAACCAATTAAGAAAATATATTAATAGGAGAAATTAAAGAACCACATGAGTAGGTAGGATATTTAAAAAAATTAATATTTATTTTACATTTGAATGAAAATTTATAGTAGTTAAATTTATAATCTCAAATTTAAAAGAAATAAATATTAATGAATAAATTTATTACTGAGAATTTTAATATTCACACTCTTGTAATAATTGTAAAAAAACCAAAATGCACAAGAATAGAATTAAAAGAGATTGTTTAAGAATTAAAATAATAATATTAAAATATCAATATTAAAGTTGGTTACAATAGATTTGATATTTCTAATTTTGAAAAATTAGTTTATTTAGAAATTGAGTAATATGATGATTATTATAATTTTGATTAATTCTTACAATAAGAAATATAGGATAGAGCATCTAAAATATTGAGATTAAATATTTAGGATAAATTAAATTTTGAAAACTATATTCTTAAATTACCAATGATCACAAATTCTAATATTAAATTTAAACATTGCAAATCTGGAATAAAATTGAGCAATCCAATTAATTAAGTAAATTAATTCAGAGTATAAGTAAACACCTATTTAAAAGAAATAAAAAATTCATTATTGTATATAAAATTTAATTAAAAATTCTAAGCTTTTTTCGACTTGATAGGGATGGATTAAAAAAAATAAATTTTAACTAAACTATTTATGAATGTAACTTAATAACAATATATGTTATCAATAATTGATATAAAACAAAACACCATTGATGTTTTAGTTTACTTTAATAGAGTTCTAAATAATGATATTATTGCTTTAGAAAAGATTCTTAATGAAACTATGGCAAAGCTTCATATTGCAGACTTAGAAAAGTATTAATTTGATTAGCTAGAATTGACGATCGATTAATTCTAATAAAAATTTTTTTCTTTAGTCATTGTTGAAAATCAAAAATTAACTTGTATTTTACATTTAAAATAATACAATGAAATTCTAAAGCATTTGGATAGTTTAAAAACTTTATCAATTTTATCCTATTAACCAAAATCAAAATTGCATGCATAATAAATTTTATAAGATTATTAAAATAAATTAATTGAATAATCATAAGAGATTTTATCAATAAAATTATCATAAAATAATGAAAACATTTATTTGGAATGTTAAACCAAAAATATGGCAATTTTAGAGATTTTTTAAAAATATGAAAAAGTTTTAGATTAGTAATTAATGGAAATACCTATAGATATTACAAAAATGGAGGCAAAATTTTTACATAGAAATTGTCAATAAGAAATTCAAAAGGAATGCAATGAATAAATATTTGAATTACTATTTGATTTTAATGAATATTAGACTCCAACTGATTCAGGAGAATTAAAATAATCATTAAAAAAATCAGATGTTGAAAATTAGTTCATTAAATTTTTAATGAAAAAAGTTTATTTTGATACAAATTTTAAATGTGAGGTATTTATGAAATTTAGCAACAAAAATAATTAAGATAGAATTGTTTGTTAAAAAGAAGACAAAATTAATCCAAATGTTATATCTATAAAGGATTATTTTTCATATTATTAAAAATAAAAAGTACCATTTAAATAATTAGGAGTGATATATGAAGAAGTCAAAGATATATTCCCTAAATTATTATAATTGTTTATGTCAAAAGAACAAAATAAATTTTATGAACTTGTGATTTTTATTGACAATTAAAAATTCAAGCTTCAATATGAATAAGAATTGTTATATGGTTTAGGAGTATCTATATAAGAAAGTTATTAAGATTATTAATGGTAATGGTCTGATGGTAGACAATTTAATGATTATGATGATTCTATGATTAATTAATAAATTGAAACTGCATATTAAGCTTTCATATTAGATAATTAAAAAAATGAACTAATTTTAAGATTTCCTTACTCTTATTAACCTGGCACTCATAGTATTGATTTAAATAAAGGCACAATATTAGATCATGCAAATGGTACAGTTAAGTAACTTAAACAAAAAGATGGATTGTATTATGTTGGTAGTGAGTAGGCAGATGACATTTTGAATTAATATATTAATGAGAAAAATTAATTGAAAAAATATTAATTCACTGTGTTTCTTAAAAAATATATAATTTTATTTAAAAGTAAAGAAGAAATATATTAAATTAATTTTGATACTAAATACAAAAGAAAATTAAGAAGAGCAGTTAAAACAGACAAATATTTTTAATTTATACATGATTATATAAAATCAAAATAAAATGAAGTAACACCCTCAGAAACTCCAAATGGTGATAATTAGATTTATTGTCGTGCAAAAACATTTATTAAAATAAATTAAGAATTAGAATAAATAAAATAGAATTAAATTGAAAAGATAAAAAAGATAATCTAAAAAATATTAGAGAAATATATTACTAATTTTGAAATAATATTGCCTGTGACAAATGATTAGATATACTTCAGTTTTTTGAATTTCCTAAATAATAACACACTATAAATAGAAGGGGAATTCAATTAAAACTAATCTATTTCTATAAAGTCTTTTGAAAAGAGTTAATAATTAATAATCGAAGTAGTAGAATTTCTTTAAAATATTCCATAAAATTGGAATCCTTCAAGTTATTAAAACTTATATTATTTTGATGTTTTACAACCTGATTTGGAAGAAGTTAAGTCAGCTTTTCCATTTTTAGATATAAAATCTATATAATTAGTTCAAAATTATGATTAATGGGCAAAATATTAATATATAAAAGATTAATTAGAAAATTAGAATGAAACATTATTACTATTTGGAAATAAAAAAGATTGTGCTTAAGAAGAAATGGCAAGAGTTACTTTGTCATTATCTTTAGATTATGTAAAATAATATAATATATATTTTTAGCATACTGGACCCTATGTAAAATGTGGTAAAACAATTGGGTATGTTAAAGATAATTATTGCGAATCCTAAAAAGGATAAAAAGAAATCATAGTACTATAAGTATTATTAGGAAAACCATAAGAACTTAAATAATAATATATAATTAGTGATTATTCTGATAATAATTATTAGGAAGGTGACTATTATTTCATCAAGAGAAATAGGATTTATCCAAAGTTTATAATAACTTTAAATGAACAATGATATTATTTAACTAATATTAATCGAAAAAAATATGATAATATTATTGAATTTATATATTAATCAAGAAATGCTCAAATTAAACTCTAGATCTTTATCTTTGCAATTTGAACGAACTGAAAGATAGAATTAATCAAGTTTTAAATCTTATAGATACTTGCAATAAATTAAATATAAATGCGACTCCTCCTTCCATTTGTCAAGATTTCGATAAAAATCAGCTAGAGCTTCTATATTCGGGGAAGAGAATTATTCTAAAAAATGGATGTAATAAATCAAAATAGATATTCCTATGCACAGAAATTAAAAATTGGGAAAACTAGTTTTTGATAAATTGAAAAGACTAATACCTATTGTTAAGTATAATCCAGCATTAAAAAGTATTTATGCCTCATTCTAAAGCAGGCTTAAAGGATCATTAAAAAGTCATTAAGATATTGATAGCTATGAGGCCAAGATAAGAAACAATCAAAATCTCTGATAATAATAAAAGGGGATCTCTAAAAAAAATCCCTAATTTTATTATTTAGAAATGCAAATAGCCTTAGAAACCACATGTTAAATTGTTTGCTTTTAACAAATCATTAATTATTTCTCAGCCTCTCTTTAATAGGGTAAACAGAAACTTTAGCCAAGGGCATATCTCATGCACTAAGTTATCCTAAAATGATTCTCCAGAAAAATATATCCCATAATCTTAGTAGAAACGATTAAGTATTTAAATCAGGAATATTTATGGAGTAAAACCATTTTCGAATTTTTGAATGTAATATAACTGCTGACTTTATTTTATTCGAATATTTTTCCTTATTATTATAAATTCATAACTTAAAAAAATTATTTTATCAATTTCATTTAAACTTTTTAGCTTCTTTATAAATATCTTAAATTCTATTATAACAATTATTTAGATAATTTAATTTAGATTAATTAATTTAATTATTCATTCTTATTTTTCTCAATCATTCATAAGAGCGAAAATATTTCATTGTTTGATTTAATTTACTTTATAAAATAATTTAAATATAACATTTTTTTACTCAGACAAAAATAGAACGATGATTATTCTTATTATACAATTAATAATTCATATTAGTATATGTTTGATAGAGAGTAATTATTAATAAATTTTAGAAAAATTCACTCTGAAATTTTTTTATTTGTTAAAATATTGATAAGAATTACTTTTAAATGATTTTGAAAAATTAAAAACTAAAAGAAATAAGATAACTAATTATATATTGGGATTTATTATAATAAATATCATGTTACATATATATTTTTTTAACTGAATAATTTTTCAAATTTATGGGTAACACTGAATTAAAACCTTAAATTGTTCATTCTAATCAATGGGTCATGGTTAAATAACTCAATCATGTTTTATATGGACCAATAAAGGTATTTAAGAACTGTTAAGAAAAATATTAATGTTTAAGAACATTCACAGTATAAGAAGATGAAGCAAATAAAATATCAGAGGAATTTGAAAAGCTTAACAAAGAATAAGTATTTAATTTGGTTAATGTAGTATAATTTAGTAAAAATTAATAAAATAGAGCATGAAATTGAGTCATAATTATGTTCTACATTTCACAAAATTCATTTAACAATAGATTATACAGAAAAACACTTGAAAAATATATATTAAATAAATATGCAAAAATTTAGTATTGAGATTTTAAGAACATTAGCATTTTTAGATTCTCGCAAAACAGATACTTGTTAATTTTGTTTATCTAAATTGTTAATTTTTGGAGATCAAGTAAGAATTGTGGAATAATAACTTTTCTCACATTAGAGTGATTATTAAAGAATATTATCAGGAGAATTAAAATGTGAAGATTGGTATTTTGCTCCAGAAGTTATGAAGTGTTTAAGAATGAATGATTAAAAATAATTTAATAATGAGAAAGCCACAATATTTAATTTTGGATTAATTTTGATAGCATTATACACAGAAGTAACTCCATATGAAGCTGAAATATATAATTATGAGAAATGTTGCTTGACTGAAAAATTCGATAAATATTTAAAATTGTTTACCTAATTTAATTTGAACAGTAAAATTAGTATCTAATATAATAGAGAAATTAGAGAAATTAATTTTAGCTTGTGTAAGTTTTACACCTGATAAAAGACCAACTTACTCTTAGTTATTAGATGAATTTAGCAATCCATAAATATTTGAATAATAAGTGGAAGATCAATCTCCATCTCCATAAAAAGTTGATTCTACTTATTTGGTTCCAACAAATTAATTAGTATCTTTCAATCCAACAGTAATGGATGAAAGAGTATTATCTGATACAACTAATAAAAAGTTAAATGATAATAAAATCTTAATGAAAAAGATTGATTAAGAAAAGCATCAAAATACGCCAATTTGTTAATCCCCTAAATTTAGATAAGAGAGTTTATAGACTTAAACTACAATTGGAAATTTAAGATCCACAAAATTATATAATTTAGAAAGCTTGTAAAAGTAGGATAGAAATAAATAAAATTAAAGTAAATCTAAATAAAAAATAAATTAAAATAAGAAATTTTGATCATAAACTTAATGATATAATATATGATTATTTATATAATTAACCTTTTTTTGAAAATTTTTAATAAAAGTATTGATCATTCATTGTTAAGTGTTTCAATAGTTTATTGATGGTTGAATGTAGGGTAAATGATGAAAGCCAATATGGCTAAGCATTATAGAATCATAATAGACTAGGTTTCTTAGGTTGGACGGACGCTTTAGTTTAATTTCAATTCATTACAACTGGTAGATCTAACTCTTTTGCACAGACAGCTATTTCTTGAATTAATATAAACAGATGGAACAATTAATTCAAATGAGTATATTTTCTAATTAATAATTTAGTAGGTGAAAGGTTATAATATTAATCAATTTTAATAATTACCTTAATATTCAAACTAT